CAAGCAACTCAGTTACTTTACTTTAAAAAAGAACTACTTTTTATCTTATCTTGACTGAAAGATACTCATAGCACCATCTCCCACAAAAATGTACCCTGCCTTTCTAAACCTCTACAGATCAGTGACTGATCAGAGACTAACAAAATCATTTTGTGTCGTTCTATCTAAGTACATCTCAAAAACAGTAAAGGTACATTGAGTTTACTACCTTCAGTCTTAAAATCATGACACTGATTTTGCTGTGCCTTGTCCTCTGTGATTAGCACAAGTGTAAACTTCAGGCTATTGCCCTCCATGGCGCTGACATAAAAGGAGTACCAAGAGCTCTCTCCTGATGTGAAGCTCAGGTCAAGCAGCAGTCAACCATTTCGCTTCTGCATCGGTGAAATTAACTCCAAGTCTTCACTTAACATTCCAGAAATATCCAGCTGATTCCTCCAGTGGAGCAGTTCGATGTTGCCAAAAGTGGTCCCATAAAGGCCTACAGAGTACCCCACCTCCACCCCACAGGCATCAAGATCCAGAGCAACAACAGGGAATTGGCCTGTTACATTCAGCTCCAGAAAACTCCGCACATTTGACCACTTCCCATAGCTGCAGAAATGTAAAAGGTGACACTGGAAAAGAAGAATAAAGTAGAGATACTGTTCTCATGCAGACATCTTTTGTATCAAATTTCATCCTAAAATAGCTCTTTGCATTCATGCTGTAATAGATAACAATGCATACATATAATGAATCATAGATATTTACAATGGGAAATACTAATAAAACATTGGCCCCAATTCCACGATCAGCTATGTTCTAATGCAGCATACAAACAGATTACAGGTATTACATTAAGAAACACGAAGAAAATAAGAAGTGCAGCAGTTGTTGTTACCTTATTAGCATAAAATTAAAGCATCTGAATGCATAATTAACTGAAAGCATTAAGGCATTCATTTTTAGAGTCCAAAGAATTCCTTAAATGAATGTCTTTTAGGCAAATTTTTCTGTCATTCTAAAGAGTTCTCTTCACTGTGGGTTAGTACTTTGAAGTTAGACAACACAAACTAAGACAAAAGCCAATACATGAACACAGCACAGAACAATAGCTGCAAAATGGCATTACCATATTTACATTTCAAGTTCCATTTATGTCTATAATTAATATAAACAATCATAACTCTGGCATAAGATAACACAAAATTATGTACACATAGAAAATATAAAGCCAGAACAGAGTGCTGCCAGTGTTGCATGTGTTATGTACAAAAAGACAGGATGATAATGCTTAATACTACTATAAGATATATGAAAGTTGATTCCAGCAATTGCACTATTTCATAATATAAGCAATTTCAGTCTCAAACTCTGGCAGAAATACAGTGAGTGCAACATTTCATCATCTTATTTCAGATGTACTATAACATGATTATGTTTGTATTTTCACAGATAAAGCTGAACAAATCAAGGGACACTCGGTTTTAAATCACCCACATGCAGGGTTTATTAAACTATTTTTAAAGGGAACAACATAAACAAAATATTTTTTCCACTAAGAAGTTTCTTCAGGCTCATTACAGTACTTCTACATATAATTTATACTAATCTGTGTGGGTTTTGTGGATCATTCACAACAGATATAAGAGACAAATGATCTGATTATAGGAAAATGAGATAGAACTACAAAACCACAAAAATCAGCCTTATTCACAAAACAATCAAATCTACTTTCAATTACTTTTAATTGATTACATCAAGGATTTTCATGTATGAGTTCTTAAAATGTCCTGTCCTCCCTGCAACATCGAATAACAGATCAGAGTGGGGGGTGCTAATTATTTAATGAGACTAAATAGGAAAAGCAGGTGAATTCACATTACCAATGATGTCCTCCATTAAAGTTACTTCCCTCCTCTGGATCTTTCTTGTCTTCTTAACCCAACTTTTATTTTCTTCACACTTAATACACTAAGGTATTCAAAAAGACCAACCTAATCTCAGTTTTGTCCTAAAAACTTGATTCTTCAAGTTGTCAGTCCTATTGCAACATCTTTCATTTTAGCCTGATTTTCAAAGGAAACGATGGTTATATATCTGTGGTGTCTGTACAGAAGCAGGCATGTTTATACTACAAAGTTCTCCTAGAACTTTTGAATTGAACTCTTTTCAATTAAAATGATAGGCTAACAACCTGAAAGAAACCAAGTACCTACAACTTTGATGAACAAGGCAACAGGTGAAAAAATGCTATCCATACTCTAAAGATTCATGCAAACAATAATCAACTTGTGCACAATCAACATCAGGCACTGGGGAACCCACCCGGGACAATACCATCAGGAATGTATCTTCTGCAGAGAAGGCTTCATGTGTGCTATTGTTTAGAAACAAGAAAGGCCACCAGAAACAAGGCTTTACTAACCGTGCCTTTTGAAGAACTATTTATAACACAATATCCATAAGAAATCTAGCTTCTTATTTGTTAAATCATTTTTGATTTGTGGATCTCTTCTCCCTTGCAACTGAATTGTCAGATTCTGATAGCTACCTACGCTTCACAAACTTTTTAAACTCTGATAGGCATTCTTTAACAATGCTCAAGAGTTTTGACTTTTCCCTGCATTTTGTTTTTCTGTATCTGCATGTTTTGTTCTTCTTCTGTGTCCGCTTCTGTTCCCTTGGAGGGCAGAACATGCACCACAATGACTATTTTTATGACTTTTGTGCCCCAGGGGCTCACAGGCTTGCCCGTCTCTTTTTAAAATAAATGCAAACAAGCCATCAGTTAACAGACAGCTGCAACATCCTTCCAAAAGAACAGCCTTTAAAAATATTGTTTACTCATCTGAACAGAAGACATCCTCCTACCCTTCAAAATAAGTGAGTGATTGATGGGTAGGCAAAAGCATTTGCTTTAACAGAATCAGACTGACATCCGTTTTCATGTTCTCTGCTGTCTGAACAGTATCAAGCTGATCAGATTTGTAATTCTGCTGAAGCACATCAAACCAACCAAAAAACCTGCAGTCCTTTCCTACACCAAACTTGTGGATTTGTCCAGTGTAAGCTAGTGAGTAACAAATTTAACTGTGGTAAAAATCCACTCTATAAACTGCATTTTACAACTCCTGAAACACAGAAATCATCTAGCTTCTTACAACAACTTCATTTGGCAGGAAGATGAGCACAGATTAGAAGAGATCTGCAACTTAACCAATTCTCATTTGCTCTTTTTATTTTTTTTAAATTGGCCGTTGGAGAATGCTACCTCTGGCCAAACAGTTGATCAAGAAAGCATCAGGCAATAATGCCCAAGAAAATACATCAGTTTATATTCAAGTGCAACTAGCAACCACTAACCCTACCAATAGCTTTTCTTGTGCAGCTAATTACAGTGACTTTTCTGTGGGGAGAAAAAAATTAGTGAGTCTCCATCTAATGTTGCAAGAAAGATGACCACAACTTATGCCTCAATTATTTTTTAAGCCACATGCAATTTGATATCACATGAGTAGGTATGGTATTTAACCCTATTCCCAAAATCAATAGAAAGCATATACAACAGATTTATATGCATGTTGGATAAGGCCCCAGGTAGATTTTAATGGCAAAATATTGTGATATAAACTGTGCTGAAGTACCTTACTATTCTCGTTCCAGAAAACTGGAGGGTTTTAAAGTAAAGATCTGGCTGAGGACATGAAATCCATCTGGCAAAACCTTACAACATTTAGTTTTGCAGAAAGATACTGATTATGTTTTCTTATTATACATGCATAGGCCTTTTCTTGGGTTTGATACTTGCCAGATCTGCGGCATAGTATAAGGAGAGAGCTCCTGCATCTTTTCAAGACCGTACTCCACTGACACACAGTTTTTCAATATAGGTATTTTACCTGAGAACAGCTCAATTCTGGAAACTATAATTTAAAATACATGTTATTTTAATATTTTAAAGATACTTCTGTTTCATTCTTCTTTATAAAGTAAGAATTCATCTTCACGTGCACTTAAAATAACAGAAAATTAGATTCCTATCTCTCAGGAAGCCATTTCAAAATAATATAGAACAGATTTGTAAAACCTGTTCAACCCAGCCTGTTTTCTACTGTGCCTGAAGTACTATATCTGCTAAACATGAAGACTCATTAAGAACTCTTGCTACTATGTCATTAAATAAGCATCAGTGCAAAAAATAACATGCAACATATATATTTGAGACGCTCTATATTAGGAAAATAACTCTCCAGCAATCTACAACCTCTTATGCATTTGATATCTCAAAAAAAAAAAAAAAAGTGAAACCTAAAAGTCTTACGAGTTTGCTTTAGTTGCTTTTCTAGAAGATACAAAGAAGGAGGTATGATTTCATGGTCTGAGTATGAAACTGGAAATCATATCTTACATAATGATTTTCCAGGACAGAAACTAACCAAATTGTTCTGGTTTTCCCCCAGTACAAGGGAGATAAATTAATTTATACTGAATTGATCACATCTGTTTAGTTTACAAAGAATACATGAGGCAGGAGTGAGTTTTAGAGAGCAGTAAAGCATATGTTTAGCTACATGCTAAACCCAATTGAAATGGCACTGCTAGTTACTGAGAAACTCATGACTGCAAAACTTTTATTACTGGATAATTTACCTAGCCTGGCTAGAGAATGGTTTCAGGTAAAACAGAAATCAAATGACACTAATAATTGTAAGAAATAAGTATCCAATTCTCCCTAGGCAAACGGAACTTGCACAACTTGCACAGTTTATAAAATTATGTACATAATTCCTAACATTATACTAATGTAAAACACAGACTACTGATTAAAAAAAACCTATAAGCTGGCCAAGGCCAGTGAACAATCAAAAAAAAAAACCAAACAAAAGAAATCAACCAAACAAACAAAACTAAACAAACAAAAATACAACCAACCATCCAAACAAACAAAGAAAAAAACCCACCAAAAATCCACAAACCACCTGGCCAAAGTCTTGAGAGACAGCAGTCTGTATATATGCTGCTCTGACAGTTTAACTGAATCAAGATATCTAAAGATGCACAGACAGTAAAACCCGATAAAATGCAAAAAGGAATCTGTCAACTATCAAAGCAAATATCACAACTGGCTTCACCTTAGCTTTTTAATGAATTCAAATTCTCCACTTGGGTGTTTTTATACATTTTAGAATTAAAACTAACATTCAAAAAAACACTTCTATGTTTTTTCAGGCCCGAAGTGACATGAGATTTTTCTTTAAATCAACAGTCTAGCATTTATAGTCAATTAAATGGAGAATGAAAAGTTAGCAGATGAACTCCTAAGGAATATTAAGTATATGCTGTCCTCCCATATTCAAATCTGTGTTTGGTATGTTTTTATATAGAAATATCTTCATATAATCTTCCAAAGTAAAATTAATCATGCATTCTAGCAGACCATTATCAACAAACTCTACCATGACAGAGAAGAAACAAAACATTGAAAACCACAGACTGCAAAACAGTCTGACTAGAAGAATTTTTAAAACATTATTTCTTTCCAATCTCTCATATTTGCCATGCAATTCTCACGTATAACTTCACATTACTTAGAAAAAGTTATTAATACATAAATGTCAAAAAATTATCAACTCTAAATGTATGAATTGCCTTCTTCTTGCAAGAGGATGACTACTTCTGGCACTTTTTGCAGAAAAGCTTTAACATCTGCCACATTAGTCCTTTTATCTTCCATCCGCATCTGCAGTCAACTACTGCTTCGGTCAAAGGTCCCATGTTTTCTTATAGTTTTATTTTAAGAGAGGAGGCACAAACTCAGAGAAAAGAGCTGTAAGTCCTGCAGTTTCAAATTCCTTTTGTAGCTCCTCCAGTGTTGAGTATTCTTTGACTTCAAATTTCTGAAACCTACATTGTAAAAGGGAAACTCATGAACATGCTCAGATCTGTCAGAATGTAATTATCAATTCTGTTAACTTTTCTATCCACAACAGTACTAAATTATACCTTTTATGCTGTGACTGTACTTCTGTCTCACACAGTACACTCATCATTTTCTCTTTGCATTTCTTTCCGCTTGAGTCCACATCTACCTTAGAAGTTTTCTGAAGAATCAAATACTCCTAAATGATTAAAAAAAAGCAACAGTAAAACATTAAATGTCATTGAGTATCTTCAAAATTTAATGAAAAAATGCAAAAATTCATGAAACATACAGACTTTTTTTTCAGAGCATAGCAATCAAACTTTGGAAGTACCCATTCCAAACAGTGCGTGACTGCTTCTATTCATCACTTTGAAGTTAAGTGGAGGCTTAAGTGATTTAGAAAAGCCAAAACATTCTCCTCCAACACCACTACAAAACCCCACCTACTGCAGTGGGACTTCGTTAGCACAGGCAAGAAGAATTTCAAAGGCCAGGCATGCACAAGGAGCACCAAGTCAAAGAAAGAGACAGTTAGTAAAGAGTTAGAAATATGTCTGTTATTAAATTCACACCACAATTTTTTCTGCTTTTTTAGACATTTGGGAAATACAGGAAACTGAACCTAGGCATATTGAAGTCAGGAAACAAAGGGAATACAGGGGTATAACTACAGTGAGAAGCAAAGCAATACAGACCACAGGTCTACAGGTATCACTGGTTTCTTTCTTATAGAATATCTTCTTTTTCTTAAATCTGAATAAAGTTGCTGGGCCTTCCTACTCTCATAATGATCAATTTGCTTCCAAAATCATTAATCTTAGAAAAACACAGACAAAATATTCAGACACGTAGGCTTCAGTGGTAAATCGATAGAACTAGTCAACATTCATTGTTCCTGCACCTTAATGCTGCTCCTGTCACCCTGAAGAAGAATCAATATTATCTTGCCCATGAACATCAGTCTTCCAGTCAGCCTTAGATCTGAAGCCCATTTTTCCACAGTTTTCACGTATTTTGTCTTTGCTCTCATGTGATCTAAATGCAAAAGGAGCATCCAGATACCATCTTCTGTACTTGCTCCTTTTGACGAAGTAGTTTTTTTGCTGCAAACTGTTGCTGATTGCTTAATGACATCTTTTAGATGCTGCTGTATCCAAAGAATCAGATCATGCACCATGGGTTCAGAAAGATGCTTCTTTGCTTGTTCAAGTAATTTATCTTTCACGTCCATACACTGGGCCCTTGTAAGTTGGTCTGAGTTAACAGAAATATCTGGTACAGTTGATGGATAATTGACTGGTAAATGAAATAACAACTTTAAAAGTACATCTGTATCCAGCAGTTCTTTCACAATGATTTGAATTCTAAATGAGATCCCATGCGTCTCTGGAAAATATAAAAAAAAAATAAACATTAATAGTTTGCTTAAAGTTGAAGTAGACATATATCATTAAGTCATGTTATTTTCTTTAACAATTCCACTCAAATTACTGCAATTTCATAAAAAATAAGGGTGTTTGGTATTTTTTTGCAGGATGGGGTGTTGCACCCAATGGCTCATGCTATTCCTGCGGGGAATCCTGAAATGAAACACTTCCATAACATAGTAGAACGAAAGTTATTAACACATTCTAAAAAGTATTCACACATTTTGGCCCTTTTGAAGTCTAGACAAGCCAGTAATAAAGAATTGTCTCTCTCAAACACATAACTCAGCTTCTACAGCTCAACAGCAGCAGCAAGGACAACCGAAAACAGAGACTTTTCTGGAGGGACTCAGCACGGCCCTAACTTTGTTCCTAAAGAAATCTGTAAGACTTCTAACATCAATACCAATGCAAGGCAAACAGACTTGCACTGGGTATTTTTTAAGACAACCAGTCAAAAGCAGTTCCACATTAACAAGAGACTTGGAAAGAAAGAAGTAGGATTCTTCATCCTCTACAACTTGCAGAAAAAATACACTTAAATCTTGTCTGTCAACCCCTCTACAACAGTTGCATTGATGTAATGAAAACAACTCTGTTGGATATCTGACTGTAGATACTACATATATAAATAGGCATATACTTATATAAATGTATGTTTATATATCTGATTATCTACTCAAAACCTGTTGCAGGCCTACTTTGGAACAGAATTATATTCAGAGTGAAAAGGATACATACAGCATACTGCGGGAAGGGCTAAAGATCACATCCTCCTGATAAATCATATAATCAAAGATGCTTAATACGAAAGTTATATACAGTAATTCCTGAAATAAAACCTTTCATGGAAAAACAATACAAAATTTGACAAAATGAAAAGCGGGGACAAAGACCTAACCTACTTTTGCTCCTCTGCCATGAAGTAAGAGGGTATCAATCAGATAAAAGATGATCTTCTTCAGATGTTCTCTGCTTCACCCCTTTGATGCATTCTAAGCACTTCACCCCTTTTCTTTAAAAAATTGCTAAAATGTCAGGCTGATTCATTCTATGAGGGCAGGAGAAGCCAGATTTGAAAGGCAGATTAGAGCAGAGCTGATTTTCAGAGCAGCTCTTTTGAAGTGACTTGCATTCTTCTCCCTCTCCCTTACCTTCCTTTACATGACAGTCAGTTGAATTATGTTTGATTAGTATTGCTGACACTGCTAACCAACCTCAGTGCTCTCCACTATTTGATATTAGAAACTTACTAAATAACTGAAAGGACCTAAAAGTGACTTGGACAGATAGAAGCAATTTAGAGAGCAAACCCAAGGGTTTGATTCCAAACCTCCTTACCAGATCATACAAAGAACTCTCTAGGTCAGGGCAGTCACAAAATAAAATCAGGAAATCCTCCAAACCCAACAGTCAAAGTCTAGCAGTATTATAAAGAAGTCTCCAAACACCTACAAACCATCCCTACCTAAAGAGTCAAATTCAGTGCTGAATGCAGCAGATGCAAATCTAGAGAATTAAATAAACTACACCCAACCATACCCATACATACATACAGGCACTACATGTCAAATTGCTGTTTCCTGCCAACACGATTCATCTTCAGTCTTCCAAGATGCTATGAAAGGTTCCAGGCTATTTTAAAGGCAAATGTATTCCTCAAAAAAGCACAAGCCTTGGAAGAGACCCTCACACATAGTAAGTAGCTACACAGGAGGACCTCAAGCCTTCCCAGTCTAATCTCTGTCTTCTGCTGCCCTGACAAATGTTTCTTCCTGGGAACTGGTTCCTGGGAACTAGATGGTTCCTTTACCATTGCACTCAGCACACATAACCACAGACACAAGAAGAAAAGCCTGCACTGCACCTCCTGGAACCCCCAGCACCCTGCCAGCCACCACCGAGGGTCTCCGCACACAGGTGAGCATCACACCAGACACAGACAGTGCCTCCTGCCCCACCTCCTTCAGCCACCCCTTACGCAGGGCAGCCCCACCAGGTGCAGCCAGCTGGAAGCAAGCTGCACCTGGCTGAATGGCAAGAACATTATTGTGCTCCTGCCTGTGAATCACTTTATTTTCAGCTATGTTGCCAAGAGATTTTAAAATGCACAACCTGTATAAGAGTTGAAGAATACTACTCTACTGCTGGCTTAATTACAGTGACAGAAAAACATGTTACCTTTCTGATAATCCTCCTAGGATTTTTTCACTAGCTTGTCATAACAGATCTCACTAACTCAGAAGTAACTCAGTGATAAAAAGACAGGCCAACCCTGCCCCTTCGACAAGGGCCTCCTGCTGCAGTGATCTTATTCGTAAGCCTGCAGCAATCTCACACCTTTCCCTGTGATGATGAACTAATCCAAAGGAAGGGGCACAGCCTCGCATCCCAAGGTGTATCACCCTGAGCCATTGCAAAAAAGCCCAGTCGTGCTCATTTACATCTGCTCCAGACTCACTTTTAAAAAAAGGACAATCAGTTCAAAACCTTTGTGGGGCTACAGCATCCAAAGTTTATTTAAACGTTGCAGCGTCCATTTTCTGCGCCAGCGCTGCAGATGCTGGCAGAACAAAGAGCAAACCACCGGCACCCCGCACAACCTGGCTCCAAAGGAACAGTTCCTTTGTTTGCACATGCTACAAGGGCTGAGTTGTCTTCACAGCAACATGGTGATTATTTCTAAAATAAAAGGTTGGGTATGACTGTTCTGCTGGCATTTAATGTGCTAATCAGACTAAACTCAATACATTTTAACTCATTTTCCCCATAGCTGCATGCTTATCAGTATATTTAGCTCTAGCATACTTCAGATTTTTTCTTATGTTCCATGTCAACCAGATAGATATCCCCCTCCTCTCCTGCCCAAAGGCATTTTATGCAACACATGCAGTCTATTTTTAAATTCAGAAAATGGCACCTACTAACGTACAAGCTTAGAATATCTAAATATATTTTTACAGCAGGCTTGGTGAGCAGACCAGAAGAGAACAGATTAACAATTAAATTATGGATTTCTATCTGTAACACTAATCTTTGCACATAGATACACAAGGTAAAAAAGATATGCTATAATTAGTTTATTTAAATTCATCAACACATTGGTTTTGATAAAAACACATTTTACATTCTGAATACTTCATTGTTAAATTCCAGAAAGCCAAAGTTTTTACCATACCAAGAGACCTGCAAAAGAATTTTTTTACATTTCTCAAAGCCATAAATCCCCAATGGCCCCCTTTTTGATCCTGTGGATCTACACACAAATTACTCTTAATGTATTAGATACAGCATAACATAACAGTCTTACTGGAAGTTATGTCTGTGCACCGTCTGTCAATGACAATTTATATGGTTCGAAGAGATAAAGCAAATGTAAGCTAATGACTACAGCAAAAGTTAATGGTATACAGACTAAAGGATTCTGTAGCTCCAACATAAGAGAGGTAAGATCCAAAAGTAAGAAAAACACCAATAATCATTGTTGTAAATAATCTTTTCAATTCCAACAGAAAACTATGGAAATCAACTAGAGATACCTGATCCTAACCTACCATGAACACAGCCCAGCTAAAGGCCCCGCAAGGTCACAAAACGTCAATACAAATAAAATAGCCTGTTCCCATTGCGCATTTGTGGCACCTCACTTTATGTTCCAGGAAGGCTTCTAAGCCTTTTACATTCTGGTAACTTACAAATACAAAACTATTTTTCCATATGTGAAGCACAAAGAAGACTGTGCATATATTTCTCTAACAAATCTGGAGAAATAGACATTTATATGCACTGTTCAGGTATGTTCACAATTTTTAAAATTAACATCTGATAAGCCTGCATATTGAATTTTCAAACTATGCCCAAAATGACATTATTGAACTTTTTCACTTTAGGAAGATAAAGCTCAGCTGAAACATTTCATCAGTCATATTTTAAAAATACAACCCTATAAAATGGCAGAATTACATGCCTACAGTGGAGCAAGAGGTGTGTCATGCAGATCTAGACAGAAAATTCTGCTTTTAGATTACCCCAGTTAATTGTGCTCCCTGACGTCTTCATCCTTCTGAGCCTGTCTACACACACAGTTTTTAGTTAAAGTGAGTCACTCAAAAGCAGCCACATGTAACTTCACAGAACAAAGCTATTTTCATGAAATCACAGAATGGTTGATGTTAGCAGGAACCTCATCCAACCTCTCCCCTCAAGCAGGGCCACCTTCAGCAGGCTGCCCAGGACAACATTCAGATGGCTCTTGACTATCTCCAGGGAGGGAGACTCCACAACCTCTTGGCAACCTTTTCCAGCACTCAGTCAGCTTCACAGTAAGGAAGTGTTTCCTTATCAATCCGAGTCCTTTCAAGCTGAATATACACATACGCAGACAAAATCTGAAAGCAGGCCACTGCATCCATCTTTAACAGCATTCCCCAGGACTTCACCGCAGTCCAACCAGCAGGAAGCCACTTGCTGTCCATCACTCTGTTGGGGTGCTGGGCAGTACTCTGCAATAGCTCCTAGGGCACCAGGGAAGAGTGATACAGAATACAGGCATGTTCTGTGTATCTGTGTGTGCCTGTATCTCCCTCCAACAAATATGTAAGCAAGTTGTCACATCCGTGGCATGCACTAAGCAAAATCTACCTATGATCCGGATCTCAAACAGACACGCAACACTTGCATATGCCACTTGACACTTAAGCCTGATAGTAACTGCTCTTGTACACTGGAACTACTGAGGATTATTCTCCCTTGCTGAAGGGGCATCTTCACATCCACCACACAGCACAGACTGATAAATGTCTACATTATAAACACTACATCCTGAACAGTGGCTGTTGCAGAAAACGCGAAGTAAAGGTATCTATCTACACTGACTGCATTGCTATCCTGCAACAACCAGCAGCTGACGGGAGCAAGAAGTACAGACCTTCTGACCATTCCACCAGCACCAGACACGATACACCAGCCTCAGTACCCTGTAACACCTACACCCATACATATCTTGCTGAAGCTAGAGAACACCTGGCACATCATAGGGTCCAGACTATCACCTTAGCATAGAAAAACAGAAATTACCCAAGCACAGCATGGTCTCGCACCATTCTCATACACAGCAAAAGCTACACCCCTATTACGTACTACAGGATAAACACCTGGTCTTGTTATACGTATGAGATTCACCTGCTTATCTACCTAGCTAAGAGCCAGCCCCTTCCCAGCGCTGCCCCTCGCCTGCTGCCAATGTCTGCAGGCGCTGGGCACAGCCGGGACAGCGAAGGTCGCTAACTATAACCGAGCAGGGCCCGCTGGGCTCTGAGCAGCATCGACACGCGGCGGGTCAGGGACGGGCAGCGAGCGACTGAGCCGATGCGGCCCCGCCGGGCTCAGCCCCGCCTTCAGCGGCGCCGGGGCATCTCCTGCCGGGGCCGGGCTGCGGACGGAGCGCGGCCGCGTCACCTGAGGCCGCCAGCAGCTCGCAGCCACATCACCTGAGGCTGCCAGCAGCTCGCAGCCGCCCGGCTCGCAGTAGATGGCGGCGAGCGCCGACAGCTCCTCCCGTGCCAGCTCCGACATGGCCGCCGGGGGCGGGCGCGATGCCCCCTGCCGGCCGCGCGCGCGGCACCATGGCCGCCAGGGGGCGCCGCCGGCCCGGCCCGCGCCGCAGAGACGCGAACAAAATGGCCGCTCCCGGCTGTGGAGGCGGGCGCGCCGCGTCCCTCCCTTCTTCGGTGCCTCCCTGCCTGCCCCGGGCGCGCCGCGCTGTGCGACCATCCGACCACCGGCCGGCCTCGGGCCGTGCGCGGCCCGCCGGTGCGCAGCCAGCCGCACACACCCATACACAAAGATTTACTGAAATATAAAATTAGGCTTCCTGTATTGAGGCACTGTGGCTTCACAATCCTGTTACCAGCCATCACACCGAGGTCTAGCACAGCCAGCAGTACCGTTAACTCCCAGGCATAATGATCTCAAACGTTCAGTATCTTCCGATATCATAAAATCACTTTTAAAAGAGAGAGGGGGGTTACTTTTCAGGAGAGGATACCCTGCTCTTTCTAAGTCCCTAAATTCCGTTGAAGTAACAAGAAACACGAGAGCGCTGGTTTGGGGAGGAAGGGGGGGTGCTGAGAAGGAGCGGCACTGCCGGGTGCAGCCCCTGCCGCTGTCAGAAGGCTGTCCTGGAAATTAGCCTTAGAAGTGCCTCATTATATTATTAAGAACTTTCTTGCCCCGGTCTTTCCCCCTTCTCCTCATACACTTCGCATACTCCATTTTACATGTTTAAATAAAAAAGTCGATGTAAATGTCTTTTAAATTGACACTATCACAAGACATAGAGGTCCCTATGAATAAGTTACTGCACTCTGACATTTGGAAGTCATCAAATAAGACAGTATAATGTCAGCTTGATATTTTTCACACTATGAAAATATCAGCTTCATGTCAAAGATCTGAATTCCATCTTAATGTAATAAGTTTTCTTGTATTCACAGACAACTGAAAATGCTAAATATTTAAATTTGAAATGAACTTCTACAGTTACAATCTGGCCTTCATATTCCATTATTATTAAATTGAAAGCCAAGATCTTATTTCCCCCCCCCTTTTTTTTTTTTATGATTTCTTCAAACACTGCAGTGTTTGATAGAATAGCATTAGCCATACTCTTTAAGTGGATGCTTTCCCATTAGCATGTAGCAAGGTTAAAAAAGTAAAGCTCCACTTTCTAGTCAGCCTACATTAAACCAGCTCCAACATCCTGTCATAAAACGATTGTGCCACCAGTATCTTCCACTTTGCCTGATAAGGCAAACAGAATGCAACCTTTCATACATAGGTAAGACTAATCTTCCCAGGGTGACTTGCAAAAGCAGTATCCTTTGCTTTCCACTCACTACAATTACAGCCTTAATCAATTAGGTGTTGCTTCGACAACCACTAGTGATTATATATAAAACACTGCATTTAGACTTATTTTCCCCTAACCTGAGTGGTGAATCAGAGGAGTAGAGAGACACTGGGGAAAAAAGGTGTCCATCTATATACCTTTTTACCATCTTTTCCGTGCCAGCCACTCAGGCTTCTCCTCTACAACTGCACGCAGTCGTAAAGGCGTGTACTCCAGAAGGCATCACTACAGCTGCTCATTTTGGGGGCACAAGACAAACACTAATGAGGAACCCATAACAAAGGTGATGGATAACCACTACATCACAAAAGACAACTGCAGTTCCCATATTTTCTGCTACAACAACGTTGCCAGCTCTACTGTAGCCAGAATGGCATTCTTACCAGCTAGAACTGTCCTTACCTGAGTTAAACAGCACTGCTTCTTCTGATACGTAAGCAAGAAGGTACCATTACTGTAATAATAACTCTGTTATTGTAATGGTAGAAGTTTTCCCAAAAGTGGCTTGTACAAAAGTGGCAGAGAGAAACCAACATGAAAACCTGTAACCTCCAAATAAGCTAAAGGGCAAAAGCTTGAAGAAAACAGAAGGAGAAGCAACCCTAGTAATTGAGAAAACACATGATAAATCATGGAAGTGTTTTTTCCCTGGTATTCTCAAGTACAGCTAGTAGAAAACTTTTCATATTTATTTTTTTTAGCACAAAACACGTAGTTTTTTGCTGTTGGAATGGACTCATTTAACAAAAAATCTACATTGCAAATTAAAGCCACCAAAATTTGCATAGTTTGTTCTAAGGTTAAATTCACCATTTTCATGTGGTTTTGCTTTTCAGTTTTTGAAAATGAGCTAATAAACTCTCATTGATATATAAAAAAAGAAAAATAAATCAGAGAAAAATATTTTCCATTACTTTTCCTTTAAGTATTTTAGAAGCAAGTTTTTCAAGGATTTGTGATCTAGCAGTGCTTTTTAAAGGCACTTACATTTATACTCCATGCATCAAACTGCTCTAAGTCAATTCCCTGAGACACTTAATCTTTTGGCAGATGGAAACTCATTTTGAAAGTGTACTAATGATCAATTAAAGCATTAGCTGTCTCTACAGACAGGAGGTTTATGGGGTCACAGTCGTCAGAAGCTGGAGGCAAGAGCAGCAGTATGTTAGCAAAATAGCTAAAACTTTCTGTAGTTACCACAAAATTGGCAAAACATTGGAAAACAAAAAACATGACTTTAGTCTTTTTTTTTTCATAGTATGTTGAAAACAAATTGATGGTTTCTATTTTATGTGAGAGGCCATGGTCCAAACTGGACATCGTTAAAGGAAATGATCTTTTAAATTTTTTTAATGAGCCCTAATAACAATCCCAATATTTCCAATAAATTTACATTATCCTTTGAAAACTGAATTCATTCAGACTGCAGTCACAAAATATTTACCCATTCTGCAAATACGCAGATGTAAAGAGCTGCCATCAGAATCAGCAGCTCACTGGTGGATAATGCGTCATTTCACACATGCTCAAGGCCTCACAATTAGATCTGGAGTCAAGACATGTACTCTGCCCAGAAGTTTCTCTGCAATTTGATGTACATATAAATAAGACCAAATAGATGTAACTGTCACATTCATACGAGAATTTAGGATTCTTTCTCTAGGAGTTTGACAAGCCATTTCCTCTTGAAGGAAATGCACATAATAGTGATTAGCCATCTAATATAAACCAAAAAGGTTGCTTTTTACGACATATCTATTATGGCCACAGGTTCCTAATGCTAACATTGATGAGAGAATCAAAACATACTTGATTCACTCCATAAAGATCTTTGCCAGCAATTTACCTTGTATAAAGGAAGAATAAATAGAACATATTTTCTTCCAGTGAGAGTAAAAAAGCATGAAGTTGCCTACCGAAAATTTGCAGAAAACTAGCAATCTTGTGCATTTAAAAAAACCAAAACATGTAAGAACTTGTGAGTAGGGAAGGGTGTGATACTGAAGATATAAGCACAGCTAGCACTGAGTAGTATATTCTATCCTCAAAAAGTTCAGCTTCCACATCAAGTTCCGCATCTGCTTGTGGAACCTTACTACATGGATTCTTCTCCAGGTGTAAGCAAAGGGAGACAAAGAATTAATGTGTCATTTAATTTACTAAGTGTAGTAGCAGATCTCTTTAAAAAGTGGTGGTTTTAACAGAGGCATTTCTACTCTCTAAACAAACATTAGTAAGAGTTCAAAAATTAGGCAGTGCTCCTTAGTTTACTAGTTCATTTTTAGCTGCTGAGCTACAGCAGTCCTAGTATCCGTGCCTCCATCTTTTGAAATTTGGCACATTAGCTATTATTCCCCACACTTTGATACAAGAGTGGAATAAAAAAAAGGGAGTGCATAAGATGTCAGACTGTTTATGACCATTTTCAGAGCACTAAGAGATCCTTTGCCACACTCACACCTTTTGAAGGCAAAACAGTTCATCAGCACTTTTTGGACTTCAAATTTACAGAGCACATTGAAGTCCTGATAGTAAATACATTATGCATTTCACATTAAACTAGCATATCTCCTTCACCTCATAATTCAAAAACAGTAATTCAAAACACCTTCCTTTGGCAGCAAGAAGTAGCAATAATCAAGGGACACAACTACCTTCTCACAGCAACAGTCTCTTTTACAGCAAAGCCAGCGCAGAAATTCTGGGGCTTAACTGAAAAATTTTGAGAGACTGAAGCTAAGACCATTGGCACGATATGAAAGGGAGCAGCAAAGGTGTTTCTAGGGGTCAGGTGAAAAAATATAAATAAAAGAAGAGCTACAGCTCCCCCTTCCAAACTGCCTGCTACTACATTGCAAAGGCAAAATGTTACGGGATGACTCAGAGTCAGGAGCTCCAGGCATGCCAGAAGGCTAAGTCTCTGACTTATTCCCCAATTACAGAGTGCTCATGTTTGGCCAGGTACCAACAGGACAAGCTGCAGAAGAGCTGGGCCAACACCACTGAGTAGGGAGGGTATTGTAGGCACAGCAACCACATGATCAGTGCCTCCAGACTGGCAGCACTGTGCCATACACCGACTGCAGAGTATTTGAATGCAGAAAGGTCTCCTGCTCCAGGTGATACAGATCAGGATCACTCTTGACCACATAAAGATGACCCAAGACCTGATTACAGCTGCAGTGTTACGCTGGAGCCCTTTTCTATCAGTCACAGAGACTGCAGTTTCTGAGCACCCCAGTATCCTTGAAGAACCACATACACCTTCAGCGGCAGACCAGGAGGGCACTCCTAACTCATTTTATCTGCAAGACTCGAGCAAAATCGGTCAAGCAGGGCTTTGACCCAGTAAAGCAGAACATAGGTAAACTTCATATATCTAAATACAAAACTAATTTAAAAAGTGATCCATCTTTACTGAGAGCCTGCATTTTTCCTCTTGTATGTGCACAGGTTAACCTTGGTTCGAGATGCTGGGTTCCAAAATTCTGTTTCAGCTTGACTGGGAACCTGATGTCACTGCAGAATTTCTTGAAAGGGCCTGCTCAGGATACTTCTTCACTTTCTTGAGGTCCACGAACTCTCCACACTTTTCTATACTTATAAAGAAATTATATAAATGTATTTATTTATGCGTACTCACATACTTGCTTTAATATAGCCTTAACAATAGTTTTTCAGTTAAAACATCCTTCCTAAGGATTAAAAGAAAATCAATTTAAATCACTGTTTTTCAAGTTTACATCAGAATTCTAATCATTCTTCTGAAATTACACCCATCTCCTGAAAAATAGCAAATTGCCAACAGCCTGCATCAAATAACCCAGGCCTAAAAACAAAACCTCTATGTTTACTTCCTTAAGTCTTACTGATTGTAGAAATTACTTTCATTGACACTTCTGGGATTTTTTTTCTTTTTTTAATTTATTTCCTTGCATTCCTCTAAAATTAGCCAGACTCAGGATGAATATATTTGTTGTCATATGCTCTTATTCTGAGAACTGCTGGTTGGTAACAAACATTTGAATTTAGTCCTTGGGTTTTGGTTCTGTATTCACCTAAAAAATGAGTAGTATATATTCAAAGATGTGACAATAGTTAAGTTGTAGTAATATTACAATAATATATAATGACTCTATCAAATATATAACAAGATTATAGTTGTAACAGACTATAATC